TCTGACTGGGGTGAGATGATATCTCATAGTTGTCTTGATTTGCATCTCTCTTAGAGCTAGGGATTTTGAACATTTCTTCATGTGCCATGGATGGATGGTTGGCCATCTGAATGTCTTCTTTGGTGAAGTGTCTGTTCATATCCTGTGTCCATTTTTCAATTGGATTATTTACCTTTATCTTGTAGTGCTCAAGTATTTTATAAATTCTAGATATAAGTCCCTTATCTGACATGTCATTACCAAATACTTTTTCCCAGTCTATGGCTTCCCTTTTGACCCTTTGGAGAAGTTTTTGGATTTGATTCTTAGAAGGTCCCATTCATCTATTTTATCTTCTCTTGGTTGTAGATTTTTTCAGGATACTTGGAAGACTGTTAGGACTACTAGAGTTCTCCCAAGCTTTTCTTTAATGAAGTTTATAGTTCTTGGTTTTAGTCCTAGATTCATGATCCACCTTGAGTTCGTTTTTGTATATGGAGTGAGGTGTGGATAGGAAACAACTTTTGAGAGGTAAAATAATCTATACACATTAAGTGGCAGATGTTTAGAAATCAGTATCTATAAATAATAAGTATTCTACAAAGCATTAGTGTACTTGCTATACTCTAGTATAAACAAAGTGCTTTGAGAATAATTATAGAAGAAAGAAGAAACTTAGCTTAGAAAATATAATTTATTAAGTGTCTAAAAGTCAGTCCAGTTTGCAGAGTAGGTGAAGTGGTTGGAGTCTGAGGTAGGCTATCTTGTTGGTTGAGGGTAGGTGTGGAATGTTTAGTTGGGGTTTTTTGTTTGTGTGTTTTGTTTTCTATTTAAGCCTGACCAACTGAAGGGCCTTTGTATCTAAAAGTGGTTAGGCCCTTGGGCTTAGTGTTGTGCCCTTGGGCTTAGTATTATTATGTTATATTTTGGAGGAACATTTTTCTAAGTAGTGTAGCACTGGTCAATCAGTTTGCTGATATTGAGGTATCCTGCGGTTGCTGTGATACTGAACCCTGTACCCTTGGGGTGTCAAATACCTAAATGGTTGCCCATGGTGGACAGTGTTTTGTGAAGCTCTCACATTAAGACAGGTTTGGAAGCAGGAGTTGCATCCACTTCCTAAACAACATGCCTCTGGAAAATATAAACTTTGAGAAAGGACGATACTTATAGAGAGGCTTCAGGTAATTTGTTCGTAGACACCAGGATTCTGTTGAATTTTGCTTGTGTCTGATATTAGTGATACTGTTTGATAATTTCTACACTCTGTCCAGTCACCT